TTTAAAACTTATACATTACTTAATCCTCCAATTCTCCATTTATTTTATTCTCAAACCTCTGTTGATCATGGGTAACGGAAATCGCCAAAAGCAAAATACAGGGAAAGAATGCTGTGTAAGTTGAGTTTTTCGTATCAAACACAAAACAATGGTTTTCTAGAATATGTTCCAGACATCACCAGTGGCAGGTTATTCTGGGAGCTCACCTTTCATTGTCTCTTTCAGGTTTCTTCTCAAAATGTTGGTTTTCTTTCAAGAAGACTTCATCCTCTCCACTCTCAGCAAGAGGCACAGGGGGAAATGTCCATAAACTAGGGCAGGGCCTCTCTGAAGAAGCGTTCCAAGTGTCAGGGCAGACACTCTCCGTTAGACCCACTGAACTGCAGGCGCCAGCCGCTGAGATGTGATGGCCTGCCGCCCGGGGAAACTCTCCACTGTCTGCAAAGGCTGTCCTTTCCAGTGATGTCGCCAAGTCTGCAGTAGAATGCTGGGTCTTTCTCTTCTCTCCTCCTGCCCAGAATATCTCTACCCCTTGAAATCCCACATGTTTGACTCGGCCAGGGCGTCCCAGGGAACCACCTCGATCACATCCCCCCATATGCTCCCTCCCAAGATCAGATCTCTGCTCTCCCACAAACCAGACGCTGCCTGCAGAATTAGAAGTCCCCGCTGAGCTCTGCAGGGAGGGTACAGGACAAGCTGGCTCCTGCACACAGACAGTCCCCTTTCTGCCATTATTAGTAAGCTGGGAACGCTCTGGCTGAGGGTCTCCAGTTAACAGTGCCGTCAGATCCTTCTGGATGCTCCAATAAAAATTTTCCTCAGTCGTTTCTGCAGCTGCAAGAGGTATATCTGGTGGCTTTTCTTGGCCAGCAGGGAACGGTGTGATGGCTCTCTGTGTTTTACGACCGGCAGTGTCTGGCTGTTTTTCTACCTGCTGAACTGAAAAACTAGAAACAGCATCTTTATCCAGTACCTTCGTAGCCTGTAATGTTTCTGAAGCTATTCTTGCTTCTGTGGCTTTCAGAGCAGAAATCAAAGAGTCAATGGGTTGTAAACTTTGTTCCTTGAGGTGACTTTGAGAGGGGGCCTCCCTGGTATTTTTTGGTCCTTCTGTAACACTGTGGAGCACAGAGTCTTGGCCAGCAAGAAGATGGAGGCCCTGCTCCCCCGGTGGGCAGCATGGCAGAGACTCCGCATCAAACTCCAGAGAAGTTCTTAGACCTTCTCCGCCTTCCTCCATGGTCCCATATTCTGGAAATTCATTTGTGACATTCGGTGGCAGTAAAGTGCTTCCTCCATGATCACCTATGAGTAGAACAGAATAGAAACATGACTTTCTGAACACCAGGGTCTAGTGGGCATGAAATATCTGTACATATTAAATATGCAATAATATTTTCATTTGATTCTTTCACTACCTTTTGCCATCCAACACCCTGTAATACATATCTCCCATAACCTTGCAGCAGCCCCATCTGCTACAGTTGCACCACCACAAATTCTGCGAGGCAATCTAATGACACAGGGCATAGTTAAGCCAGCTTCTGATGAGGCCCCATACATGAGGGTGTTGTACCTCAGCTGTCTTGTGTGGAAAAGAGATTAAAACAAGGATAAAGATCACCACCCAAATACCACTAGAGAAGAGCCACTAAAATATTTATACCGGGCATCATACCAGACAGCCTCATGAATGTGAGGGCAGTCTTAGAGACAGAGTCTCAGGAAAAAGACACTACTTAAAGTCAGTAAATATTTTTTCAGCCAGAAGTCTCCCCTTTCACTGTCAGATTTCTACAGGGGGAAAAAGGCTGTGAAAACATCCTTGAGGAATGAGAGTGAGACCAAAATGAAATAGGAGACTTAATGTGTTGACAAAGATTTCCAGGATTCCAGCTGCATAAAATGTTTTATCCTTTCACTTACTTTTTAACTGACAAAAATTTGTGCTTATTTATGATCTATAACATGATGTTCTGGTATATGTACGCATTGTGGGGTGGTCAAATCAAGCTGATTAACATATTTTACCTCACACACATGTTCTTAAAGAGAAAAACACTTAAGATCTACTCCATTAATTTTCAGTCTTGAAAACTGGCATCATACCCTTGTACAATGAATCTCTTGAATGGGTTCTGCTTAACTAAAAATTTGCCTCCTTTCCCCGACATCTTCCTGTCCCTGGCCCTTCCTCCAGCCCTTGACAACCACCATTCTACTCTCTGGTTCTAAGAGTCTGACTGCAGATTCCACATATGAGATCACAAACTTCATAAATATTAATGATATCTTAGGCAGAACCTCAATATATGAAGCAGAACAAAACAATGTTGAGTTGGGTTATATTTATTATATGGACCACATTTACATTTCTGTCAAAATTACAGTGAAACTGAGAATGCGGACATCTTGAAAAAAAATTTAATTTGAGGGTTTTATGGGTAAGAGTTTCAGTCATATTATGCCCAAGATTCAACCCCTTCTGAACTCAGTTTTGGTCACTGTATCAAAACAGTATTTATCTACACTAGAAATATAGGGTACTCACTTCTACTTTATGAAAGAGGGCACTTGTTTTAAAACCACCATAGAGCTACAATCTTCCTATTTAATGAAATATTTCATAATGTCAGAATAAATACACTGAAATAGCATGCCAGACACGACTCAAGACGTCCACAAAATGAAGTAATTTAGAAATGAGTTAACATATGAAATTCCCTGTCCATTAAAATAATTTGAAATATACTTTTCAAATTAAATTTGAATCAGGTGTGGATGCAGAAGCACTGCTCTGTAATAGCAGTATTTGTAATACCATCACCTCACAGAACTAATGACATATAGTAGCTCAGGGGCAAGGTTGTGAGTTCAACCACCAGTCACACACACACATGTGCACACACACACACACAGATACAGCTTAGTAAAATCTGAAAAGGAAGCAATTTTGCTAATGTGGTTTTAAAAGGGGAGACAGCAACCAAACAAACAACAACCAAAAGAGATCTTTTCCTGGGGCAGCATATTGACATTTGAATTTTTTCAGTAAAGAATGTGGTTGGACCTTTCATTTCCTCTAAGAGTCAGTGGTTGTTAGTGTATTCACCATGTCAACTATTCCCACTATCTAGTTCCAGAACACTTCCATAATTTCAAAAAAGAAATCTTGTATCCATGAAGTCACTCCCTGCTGGCACCATCCCTTAGTCCCTGGAAGTACCAATCTACTTTCTGTCTCTTGGGATTGGTGTGTCCTGAGTATTACACACAAATACATTCATATCACATGTGTTATTTGGTGTCTGGTTTTTTCACTTGGCATAATTTTTTCAAGTTAATTTCATGCTATAGCACGTATCAGAACTTCATTTCATTTTATCACCAAATAATATTTCATTACATAGAAATACCACATTTTCTTCATCCACTCATCAGTTGATGAACTTTAGATTGTCTCCATTTTGGCCACTATAAGTAATAAATTTATATACAACTTTAGGTGTCTAAATCTGTATCTAGAATGTAATTCTGGGTGAAAGTGGAATTTTTGAGTCATATGTTTAATGGCTTAAGGAACTGACAAATAGTTTTCCAAAGTAGCTGCACTATTTTACATTCCTTCTCCATTATTGTCCATGTTTTTTATTACAGACATCCTAGAGCATATATAGTGATAGTGCACTGTGATTTTGATTTTACTAATGACTAATGGTGTTGAGCACATTGGCATGTACCTAGTGCCTATTTGTACATCTTCTTTAGAGATGTGTGTGTTTATTGAGATCCTTCCCATTTTAAAGTTAGGTAGCCTTTTTATCATTTAGTTCTAAGAGTTCGTACAAACATCTTCTCCCAGTCTGTGCATTATCCTTTTACTTAATGGAGTTTTTTAAAGCACAATGTTTGAAATTTGATAAAAATCCAGTTTATTCAGCTGCATGTGGTAGTGCACACCTGTAATTTGAAAGACGGAGGCAGAAGAATCATAAATTCAAGCTCAGCCTGAGTAATTTAACTTAGGGGAACACGCTCTCAAAATTAAACATTCTTTAAAGTGCTGAGGCTATAACTAGGTGCGAAGATCCTGGGTTCAATCCCAGGACCAAATAAATAAATAAATAAATAAATAATAAATCTAGCATCTGTTTTTCTTTAGCTGGTGTTTTAGTTGGTGTTGGTGTGTTTTTCTGTAGTTGCATATGCTGTTAGCATATCTAACAAATCACTGTCTAGTTCAAGATTATAAAGACTTATTACTATGTTTGCTCCTAGGAATTTTACAGTATTGGTTATTACGTTTAGATCTTTGGTTCATTTTGAGTTAATTTTTAAATATAATGTGAAATAGAGATTCCATTTCATTCTATTGCCTGTGGATATCCAATTGTGCCAGCACTATCTCTTGAAAAGATTGCTATCTTTTCCTATTGAATTGCCTTGATAACCCTGCAGAAGATCAATTCATCATAAATGGAGAGGTTTTTCACCACTCTCAATTCTGTTGCATTGAGGTAGATATCTATCTTTAGAGCAATATGACATTATCTTGATAATTACTCTAGCTCTGTAATAAGTAAAATCTTCAAATGAGAGCTCTCTCGCTTTGTTCTTCCTCTTCCAGATGTTTTGGCCACTTTGGGCTCTTTGCATTTTTCATAAGAATTTTAGGTTCAAATGTCAAACAGTTGAGATTCTGATAGGAACTGCAATGCATCTATAGAGTATAGGATTTTTAGCAGTATTACTGTAACATCTTTCAACCTACGATCATGAGTTGTCTCTCCATTTATTTCATCTTCTTTAATTTCTTTCACCTGTGTTTTGTAGTTTTAAGTTTGTGCATTTCTGAATTCCTTTTATTAAATTTATTCCCTTAAATATTTTATTCTTTTTGACACTATGTATCAGTGAAATTGGCTTTCTAACTTCACTTCTAGATCGTTCATACCAGGGGGCATATAGAAATACAGTTGGTTGCTGTATTAGCCTTAGATCCTACAATGTGCTGAACTTGTGTTTTAGACCTACAGAATTATTACAGGTTCCTTAAGATATTCTCCTCACAAGGTCACATCATCTGTGAACAGATATAGCTTTACCTCTTCCTTACTAATCCTCAGTCTATCTTTCCCATATACTATCTCTCTCAACTCCTCTTTCAAATATGTTATATTAGTGTCTCTAAACTGAAGATGGGTACAGCACATACATATTTGAAAAGGTTCTGATTATAAGGTATTCTGGAAAGAAAGCAAACTCTATGGACACTCTGACCTGCACAGTCCTTTGCCTTTGTTCTACCTCTTTTACTCATGTGACATGCTTCTCCTCATCTCAGCATAAGATTATTTTTACCTTCCAAGACTTAACTGTAGTTCTTCCTCCTTTAAGAGGCTTCCCTTCATCACCAACCCTTAAAAGAAGTTACCTCTCTTCCTTACAAATCTTGAAAACATCAACTATGTAAAAGCAGTGCAAATACATGCAATCAATAAACACAACACTAGCTCATATTTTAAAAGCCTCAAAAGCTCCAAATTTTAACCCTTCATGAACTTTTTTAAGAAAACCAACCATAGTGCTCACTCAAGTTGTAGGCATGTATAGCAGCAAAACATAACACAGTGACATCTATTCAACAAATTGATCAGAGTTAAACTTATCATTGAGGGGCCCTCTTTTTCATAATAGATTAAGTTGCCATCTGTAAAATAACTGTGAACATGAGCACTGGTTTTGAGAAAAATGATTCCCCACAGGAAAAAAAAAAAAAAATCAAGAAAAGAGGCCTCTAGAATAGCAAAAGCAATCTTGGGAAACAAAGGAAAGGCAGGAGGCATCACAATTCCTGACTTAAAATTATATTACAAAGCCACTGTGCTAAAATCAGCATGGTACTGGCACAAAAACAAACCTAAAGATCAATGGAACAGATTAGAAGATACAGATACAACTACAAACACGCTCAGTCACCTTATTGTCACCAAAGGGACCAAGCATGTTCAATGGAAGGAAGATAGCCTCTTTAATAAATGGTGCTGGAAAAACTGGCTTTCCACATGCCGAAGACTAAAACTAGAC